ATCAGAGATTATGAAAGGTTTTTCTTTACCTTTTGTGTATTTTGTCTAGGAAACAAAGATTCAATGTCTTACGAAAATAATTTCCTGTGTTTCACTTTGTCTTTATCAGGTTTTTGATTGTTTAGGAAAACAATCTTTTCAATATTAAAAGAGCTAAGGTATTTTTTTTTTTTTAAGATTTTATTTATTTGACAGAGAGAGACACAGCGAGAGAGGGAACACAAGCAGTGTGAGTGGGAGAGGGATAAGCAGGCTTCCTGCGGATAGGGAGCCCAATGCGGCGCTTGATCATGACCTGAGCCCAAAGCAGATGCTTAACGACTGAGCCACCCAAGCGCCCCAGAGCTAATGTATTTTTAACAACTATGTACTTTCTATATTTGCTTGTGAAGTCTTTTTCTTACTTTGGTTGAATAGGTAACTAAGTATTATTTCACAATGACCTGTGATCCTATTTAATTAAGTGGTGTTTTGTTTTGTTTTGAGAGAGAGGAGGAGGGGGAGAGGGAGAGGGAGAATCTTAAGCAGGCTCCATGCCCAGCACAGAGCCCGATATGGGGTCAATCGCTCGACCCTGAGATCATGACCTGAGCCGAAATCAAAGAGTCGGAGGCTTAACTGACTGTGCCCCTCAGGCGCCCCTAATCAAGTGACTGAAACCTTTTGACATTTTTTACAAACTCCCCAAAATCAAATTCTAAATGAGGTCTTTTTGACTTCGAACTAACTTTGGGGTATTCCCAAGGCTCCCTGGAAGATCTGGTTTTTTTCTCTCCTTATAAAAATGGAGACATTGAATTATAAATTTCTCAAATATTAAATTGCATGGGAAACATTATCAAGTAAAGGGGATGCTTAATCTTCTTAGACTGTATTTGTATGGATATATGTTATTAATATAAGTGTTCCAGAAATTGCATAGAACTCCTAGGAATCTGATATGCCCTGATAAAATGTTATCAGTTATTTTTAAATGTTGTATGCCACAGGAATAGCCAAACTTACCTGTCAATCACATCTTTTTTTTTTTTTTACAGTGAACTCTTTAAGGCTGTTTTTAAGTCTTTTGTCATTCACAGACAGTTGTTTTACACTTAATTCTTCTATGAAAACATTTATAATCAACTACAGGCCAGAATGCTTTGTTTTCAAGGAGATTCATAGAAAAGACACTGACATATACTCTAGAAGTTTCTGATAATTTTAAGATCATACGACTTAACTAGGTAAGAATTTCTAGCATGCTATGGAGAAACTGATCCATAAAACTGCTAACCCAAGAGCAAGAAAACAAGAATTGATTACATGGGACTAAACTCATGCAGATGATTATAATTTTTATGACATTGTTTGCAACATTTTTGGTTCTTTACTGTTTTACTCTCCAAATTTAAAGAACCCCTTTTCTCCTATGAAGCCACTATGTAACTTATAACAATTTGGTAAACTTTTGTAAACAAAGATTAAACATTTATCTTTTTCTCCCTACCTGATCCCTTCAGAATTCAAAACAAAACAAAACAACAACAAAAAAACCCTTATTGAGTGTACTTATTTTCATGGCAGTATAGATATTTGCATAAATTCAACAAGAATTTATTCTTTTTGTAACAGGACACAATTGGACAAGCCCTTGGCTTGGCTTCTTGGCCTGAAGAGGTGTTTAAACATCTAATCCGAGATTTCTAATTACCAGATGGTTTTTAAGAAGCTAAGGTTGGTTTGTGGAGCCAATAAAACCCTTTGAGTTACCAAAGCTTGGACTGGAATATCATATTTGAACATATGCATAAAATCACTATTCTGCTGCACTTATATAAATAACAAGCTGAATTTAATGAGACTAAACTTGTTTTACAATTATATTGTGATTATCTTTGGTAAAAACGAAGTGACTAGGGGCACCTGGGTGGCTCAGTCGTTAAGCGTCTGCCTTCGGCTCAGGTCATGATCTCAGGTTTCTGGGATCAAGCACCGCATCGGGCTCCCTGCTCAACAGGAAGCCTGCTTCTCCCTCTCTCACTCCCCCTGCTTGTGTTCCCTCTCTCACTGTGCCTCTCTCTATCAAATAAATAAATAAAATAAAAACAAAAAACAAAAAAAAACCCACGAAGTGACTATAAGAGAGAAAAGTTATGTTTCAATAGAAAACTATAGTATACCTATTATCAGATTCTAGTCCTGTTCATTATCTTTGAGGTTTTGTTATCTATCTGTAAACTCAACTGGTCCTGAATTCTTCCAGTTTCCTCCAACACCTGGCTACAGCTTTCCAAACTAACATTTCCAATTTTCTCTCACCATTCTGACTTGGAATAAAAACTAAAATTGCCCTTTAACCCAAGCCCTACAACCTAAAGCCAGACAACTTGATATAAATCTCAGAGATATCACCACAAGAGATCATGTACAGACAACCTTAGTGCTTATTTCTATACGGGCCACCCAGTTCACCAGAACACCCAATGACATCATCAAAGTCATTCAAACTGCAAATCAGGAAAATCCAACAGATTGAAACTGCCATCCTCACTCCACTATCTAAAGATGTTTTGAGCTCAAATCTAGAAATTTTCTTGACTGGCTGCTCTTCAGACTCAGAAACTGAGTTTGTAATTTGCTCCAACGATTAATTTTTATCCTTCTTTTGTTTCCATAGAAATGCCTGTTTGGTCACACTGTATAGGGGCCCAACTTAGATGGAAGCTCTCCTATAACACTCCTGAAATAAGACATCATCATGTTTATCCTAAGTAATCATAACATGATTCAACAGTGTGAGGCACTAATATAATATTAAAAAACTTACTTTCCACCAGGTCTAAGAAGCTTTCTGTGATCCATTCCAAAAAAAGACATTAGAACTTAGAGACTTAGTTTATTGGAAAAGACACCAACAAAAGACTGCTTTTAAATCACCTCAGAGAGATCTCTTCTGCAAAATCCCTACAATTACAGCAAAAATCTATAAACTCTCTAGCCAGAGTTATATTAGATAATTGCACAGCCTTAGACACCCTAACCACTTAATAAGGAGATGCATATGCTCCAACTGGTTAAAAAAAAAATTTCCATGTTAATAAATTAGGACTAATTACCCCCAATTTAAAAGATCTTAAAGATCAGATGTCACTCTTTCATCAAATAGGTGATACTTCTTTCACTGATTTATTTAGTTGGTTAAATCTTGGCTCCTGGGAATCTCTGCTTCCAGGAATTTTTCAATCCTTGTCTGTTACTTCCCTCATAGTCATCATATTAACCTTGCTAGTTGTAGGAGTGCCAACAACACTGACTCCATCTTTGGCCCTCCATTTTGTTTTTGCTCATGCAATGACCTCCCTCAGGGCTACATGTTCCAGGCCACTTGGACGTTAATGTATGCCCTGACCAGAATGCGGGAAGGCTTACTCTGATCTTCCCTCAAGTGGCGTACAGAAGGCACACTCCAGATAACTAGGAGAGATGACTGGTGCATAAAAGGCGCCACTTCAGATAACCAGGAGAGATGACTGGTGCACAGATGGCGCCACTTTAGATAACCCCCCTTGACTGCACCACAGTGCCCCGTGCTCTATAAAAGCTGTAGCTTAAGGTTTGGACTGGGTGGAGAATAGCTGCATAGCACCTGGATCATTTATCCACTGGCTCCCCCTTGTCAGTAGGTTACACTGAATAAAGTCTGTGTAAACACTATGGAGTGGCTTGCTTCATTTTTGGCTTTCCAAGTGCCTACTTGGTGTGGAGGATATTTTACTGTACCTCCCCCACCTTCTAACACTAGTGCACTGTATCCTCTCAAGAGTTTTAAATGCCTTTCAGCAGCCACTCACACACCAAATGATATCCATCAGGATTACACAACTCAAAGAACTCAGTAATCCTACTGCCCATGCCTACAATGACTATGCAACTGTTTGTAATGGCAACTACATGACCATACGACCCAAAGACTACATCAACAGTGGTAGCGAGAGTAATAGCATATTGGCTCACACTTTCAGCTTGCTGAGGGAATGACCAAAAGGGGGTAATTTTTTAGATAAAATAAAATGGAGACCACACTTGAAAATCCCCTAAGCAGACCAAACCAGTTAGATCATATAAGTAAACATAATCTGGTTTATTTCATGAATGTAAGTGAAATTTAACAAGTTATTTCTTGTAAATCCCTCCGATAATCATAAACAAAACTTAAATCATCTCCCTAAAATAGTGTAAGACAATTACTTTTAACCAATCCCTTGCAGTTCTTTAAATTGTGGTACCAATCACTGTAATAACCAATCACTGTAAAGGTTAAACAAACCTAGTCATTCTCAGTTTATAAGCCATCTTGCAAACACATGCCTCTGGGATTCTCGTTTCTCCCTCACGAAAATAAAGCTCCTTGAAATTTCTTTTGACACTAGGCATCCTTCTAAAGACTTTACATATGTTAAATTTATTCCTCACTAGAACTCTATGAGATAGGTACCGTTGTTACACTAATTTGATAGGTCAAGAACTCAGGCACAGAGGTTAAATTACTCTCCATGGTCACACAGCTGGTGAATGGGACTGGGAGCTGAACCCTGTAATCGCAATCAAGCAATCAAGGAGCCGTGCTGCCCCGAAGAAGCAGTATCTATCCCAGGTGGAACTCTGCTGAAGGCTTCTGAGAGCCACATCTGGTGTTTTGTTTTGTTCTACCAAGGCTTTCGGCTCCCGTCAGAAACAGGCCACTGCCAGGAACTGCCTGGGCATCAAGTAGTCAAGGCTGACTGAGAGTTCGGACACCCGTCTGGGGGCGCCCACGGGGGACAGCGGGGCAAACCTGCCTAGCAGCCCACTTGACACAACTGTCCTCTAAGAGGAGACAACAAATCCGGAACTCAGAAACAGAAACACCAGCGGGGCCCTCTCCAGAGGTCCAGAGCTGGGAAGGGGCGGGGAGGGAGAGCAAGCACAGGGCTCGGCTGGGGCGGGGCGAAGGGGAGGCGGGGACCGGGTGGACTCACAGATCCAGAAGCTGACTGACCCGCCGCGAGCTAGGCATCGCGGCCGCCCAGGAGAGCCTCTTCCGTGGTCCCGGGGCCGCCCAAACGGAGCCAGAGACCGTCCGTCAACTCCTGCCCCCGCGCGACGCGTAGGCCCTCGTGACGTCACACGGCTTCTTCCGGTGACCGGGACGCAGCCACGCTCGGGACTACGGAGGGAAAGAAGAGAAGGGAGGTGATAAAATGTAGAGTAGCCCTAAACTCGGTGAGGCGCGACGGGAGTTGTAGTTCCGCCACCTCGCGGGCTCCGTTTACGGGCGGTTTCCCAGGAGTTGAAGCCCCGCGCCAGCCCAGCTGGGCACACCTCCCTCGGCGCTCTGCTTAGAAGCCGCTGCTCTTACTGCAGGGACGTGTTTGATGCTGGTCCGTGCATTTGGCGACACGTACTGGAGACTCCCTTGGAGGTGGACTCCATTAACGTGAAACGGAGCGTTTTAGAGCAACCAGGAGTGACCGCTGTTTACCGAGCATTTTCTCTGAAGCACGTACTGAGCTACGTGCTCTCAATTAACTACATTCATTTAATCCTGTGAAGTCGTGATTATTTAGCCTTATTTTACAGATGAGGACACTACATGCCAAAAAGCTCAGTAAGAATTTCATCATGGGGGGAGGGGCATCTGTTCAAATCAGAAAGGATTCTAAAGAAGGGGCACCCTTTCCCAGGTGGAATTCTTTCTCTTTGGTTATGCTGCAGAGTGCCGGCTATTTTTTAGTGTTTTTCGTTCTTCCTTGTGGATTGATTTGTTGTTTATGTGTCTGTCTTCCTTTTATAAGCTGAAAGTTGGAACCCAGTTTTGCTCTTTTCAGGATGCTGCTTATTCAGGCAATACACATTTATCAAGCACTGAAGGAGGGTAGAGAGAGTGCTGGTGCTGAGGATTCGGAAGGACAATTAAATTGTTAAATGCTAAGATGAAGTTAATGCTATGCGAGCACCCATGGAGGAGTTGGGGGAGCAGTTCAGAGAGAAAACTGTGGTCTGTTAGGGACTGCAGACAATTCAGGGTGGTGGCTACAATGGAGAGTGGTGAGAGATGAATGTAGAGCAGGAGTTGGCAAACTTTCTATGGAGGGCCAGATAGTAAAGATTGTAGAGTTTTGTGGGCCATACTGTCTTGGTCACAGCTACTCAACTTGTAGCTCAAAAAGAAGCCATAGACAATATGAATGAGTGGAGCTGTGTTCCAATAAAGTTTTCTTATTGAAGTTTGAATTTCATGTAGTTTTCATTGTCATGAAATATTCATATTTTGGTTTTTCAATCATTTAAAACTTTACGTTGCAAACTACAAAAATGAGCAGTGGGCTGGATTTGGCCGGCTGGTGGTAGGTCTGTCCTCTTCTGATCAGAAAGCTAAAATGGGGCCTAATGATCTGTGTTAAACAATTTAGGCTTTGTCTGGAGGACTTTGGGTGGAGTCATAGGTAGGTTTTAAGCAAGGACAGGGCATGCATAGGAAAAATGAGATTTAGAAAGAACTCTAGCTGTGAAGTATTCAAAGAACTGTAGAGGTCACAGGTGGAGACCAGATAGGAGTCCTTTGATGATAGCCTGAGCTAAAGTAGTAACAATGGAATGGATAAACAGATTCAAGAGGTAATAGAAGTTGAACTGATAGGATTTAGAGATTGGTGGGGGTGAGGGAAAGTGAAGAGTCAAGATGAACTTTTAGGCTTTGGGTTCGGAGAATTGGGTGGCATATGGTAGTGCCATTTATTGAGCTGAGAGGATTGCAAGAGTTTTCTGAAGAGAGAAGTATTGTTGGACATGTGGCTTTTGAGGTATCTGTGGAAAAATGTAGGCATGGAGCTATAGATCTGCAAATTGTGCTGGTTTGCTTTTAAAGAAGAGATTGAATAGCAGTGATAATGCATGCATTTACTTATTGATAACAGTAATTTAGAAGAATCCTCTGCTGTTCTGGGAGCCATTTAGACCTTGGAAGACCACGGGAGAGCTTGACAGAGCAGATAAGGGTAGGACTTCATAGTCCTTCCTTATCTGTTGAGTGCTGCACAGCTGTCCATCTGGGTCTTCCCACTGATTACTTGATTCTTCAAGGAAAATATAGGCCATTGCCCCATTATTATGAGATGTTCAGCTTTGGGTGCCAGTATTCTTCTCAGTAGTCAAAGGAAGTCATCACAACTGTTTTTTTTTTTTTTAAGAAAATTATAATGAGATAAGATGACAAAGTCCTAGTTATTTCTAGCCAATCATTTTATTTTAAAATTTTTATTTATTTTTTTAAAAGATTTTATTCATTTATTTGACAGAGAGAGGGAGAGCACAAGCAGGCAGAGGGAGAGGGAGAAGCAAGCTCCCCGCTGAGCAGAGAGCCTGACATGGGGCTTTATCCCAGGGTCCTGGGATCATGACCTGAGCGGAAGGCAGACGCTTAACCAACTGAGCCACCCAGGTACCCCTCTAGCCAATTATTTTAAAGGTCAAAGATGTGTACATGGTATCACAATTCTTAGGACTATTTTTTTTTTTCTTCAAAGATTCATTTATTTTGGAGAGAGCTAGTGGGCGGGTCAGAGGTACATAGAGTGAGAACAAATCCTTGGAGAGGTAGCTGAGAACAGCAATTGACACTGAGAAGAAACAGCCAAAGAGGTAGGGAAAAAAAACAGTGGGGTGCTACAGAAGATAATCATGACCCAAACTGTCACATGCTGAAGAGAAATCAAGTAAGATAACACCTGAAGGTGGTTTAGCCAGAAGAAGGTCATCAAGGGTCTTTGAGGTGGTGATGGAGGATGCAGTCTGATTGTAATGTCAGGAATGAATGGGAAGTAAGGAAATTAACACACAAGTAGCCCAACTCTCATTTACAATACATACTTGTTCAAATGAATTGCTGTTTCTCTTAAGACTCATATTGAGAAGGAAAGGAGATTGTAAAAGTGTATAGCTCTACTTTGTGGAAGGTAAAATGGGATAACTCAGAACTGTTATTTACGGACCTTCTAGGTGTCAAACATGCTAAATACTTAACAGGATCTCATGTAGTCATCAATCGAGTCTGAAATATGCTATCTTATAGATGAACGTGAGGTTTACCTAAATAAATAGGTCTGTCAGATTCCAAAGACCATGCTGTTTCTACTTTATTTGGGTGTTCAGGAGAGAGGTTTATGGTACATCTAAGATCATCAATATAACTTGCAAAGCCCTCTTTCAAAAAGTTATTAGATTTTTCAAGATGGTGATAGCAGAGCATTAAACCAAGGCAGGACCTTGGTTTATCAGCACCAGTGGTCCACCCATGAAGCCGGCCTTGGTGTATGCAGGACGTCCCAAGAAAATCAGTTTCAGCTAGTGACTATTCAGTAACTTGGTCAAAATAGAATTCAGAGACAAATGTGAACACCTGGCAACTTTCAAAAAAATCCAAGTACAGTTGACATATGATATATTAGTTTCAGGTGTACAGCATGGTGATTCGACAGTTACATATATTATGAAATGCTCATCAAGATAAAGTATAGTTACCATCTGTCACCATACCAAGTGATAATATTATCGACTGTATTCTCTATGCAGTACTTTTCATCCCTGTGGCTTATTTCTTTTGTAACTGCAGGTTTGTACCCCTTCATCCCCTTTACCTATTTTGCCTTTTAGGAAAACATTTTCACTCGCAGTTCAGAAGTAGTGGCTCATCCCGTAGAAGAGGACGCATTTATAGCTCTGATGATATGGCAGATATTTATAGCTCAGATATGGCAGCTGACAGTTCAGATTGGATAAGAACAAGATGTTCCTGTCTTTTTGTAAGGAAAACAGGATGTTCTTATTTTTGTGGCTTATCTCAAGAGGCAAAGCTTTCAGGATTTCCTGTTAGTCAATGCTTTTAGGAGTTTCCTGTTATTCATGGTTTATCTTGGAATGCAAGGTTATTAGGAATAAAAGTCTTTTCTGGTGCATGGTAAGTGATTTGTGGACAGTGCCAGGCTAAGGGCAAGATGTCGTGTTCCCATTCTCCCCTCTTTGCTTGCTGTACCCACTTTATTGTAGTTTCCTCTAGCTCGGAACCTCCTCCATTTCCTATCCTAGCTACCATATAAAAAAAACTTCTAGTTTTGTTTTTCTGGGTAGGTTATATAAGAATAATAAGCAACATTACTTACCTTAAATCATGCTATTTATTCCTAGCATGTTTGTGTATGTGTAGAAAAATACATAATAAATGTCTACAGATAAAATGATGAAGTATATCTTATGCAATATATGTATATGTATGTATATATATACACATACAAAATTGACCCTTGGACAAAATGGGTTTGAACTGCCAGGTCTACTTATATGGATTTTTTTTAGTACAGTACTGCAAATGTATTTCCTCTTATGATTTTCTTTCTTTCTTTCTTTTTTTAAAGATTTTATTTATTTACTTGGCAGAGAGAGAGAGACAGCGAGAGAGGTAATACAAGCAGGGGGAGTTGGAGAGGGAGAAGCAGGCTTCCCACCAAGCAGCGAGCCCGATGCGGGGCTTGATCCCAGGACCCTGGGATCATGACCTGAGCTGAAGGCAGTCGCTTAACCAACTGAGCCACCCAGGCGCCCCATCTCTTATGATTTTCTTCTCTCTAGCTTACTTTATTGTAAGAAAATAGTATAAAATATATATAACATACAAAATATGTGTTGACTTTATGTTTTGGTAAGGCTTCCTTAACAGTAGACTATTTATAATTAAGTTTTGGAGGAGTCAAAAGTTACATGTGGATTTTCGACTGTGTAGTGGTTTGGGCCCCCTACGTCAACTATGTGAGTGTGTGTGTGTAATGAATCTTGGGTCATTTATTAAGAATGTGCGTGCGTACAAGTAGATAGCAATAAATTGTTCAGATAATCTTTACATGTCATATCTCAAAATATAAGAACAGGCTATGAGTTAGGTTCTTCACTTTTAAACCATACTGCTTATATTTAGATTCAAAATAGCAATTTCTCTTCTTTTTTTAAGATTTATTTATTTATTTGAGAGAGAGAGAGTGAGAGTGCGTGTGAGTGAGCAGGGGCTTGGGGGGCAGAGGGAGAGAGACAAAGAGAATCCCAAGCAGACTCTCTGCTAAGTGTGGAGCCTGACACGGGGTGCGATCCCAGGACCCCAAGATCATGACCT